GCCGGGTCCCCCTGGTCGGCTGGAGACGGTCTCCAGCAGACCAGGGGCACCGGAGCAGCTTACGAACGGGGCTTTCTCGCCCCGACCTCCGGGGCGAGAAAGCCCCGTTCGTAAGTGCGGATCCGACATAAGTCGGATCTGCGTAAGTCGGGGACTGCCTGTACTTTCTCCCTACAGATATTGACACAGCTGATCACATTGTAAGAACAATGTATCTTACTCTAAACCTGGGAATGGGGCGGGGCATCTTGAGAGGTTTTGTGTGTATTTTTAGGTCTGCATAACCTTTTTGTTTCCTGATTCTACACTATGTTGATCAGACTCCTTTTTCATGTGTGGCACGTATATTGTGCAAAACTTGGCTGTTACTAGTAATGCTGCTTCTTTGCTGCCTTTTTAGACATTAGTTGGCAGCAACGGGACCATTTTGACCACAATGCCCATGATGATGGGACAGGAAAAGGTACCTATCAAACAGGTGCCTGGTGGGGTCAAGCAGCCAGAACCACCCAAAGAAGGAGAGAGGAGAACGACCCATAATATCATTGAGAAGCGATATCGCTCGTCTATAAATGACAAGATCATTGAGCTGAAGGACCTGGTCATGGGAACAGATGCCAAGGTAAAGAGATGAAAGCTGACGTCAGTAAGGTTGTGTGGCCTGCAGCCATCTAACCTTCAGATGTGTTAGCTAAGAAGAATCCTGCCCAACTGCTTAGCTGGGGAGACTTTAGCTGATGCAGGCTATTAATAGTAGCGGTTTTTAATATTATTTATTTGATCAGGATGATAGGCTGCCAAGGAAGATGAATGAATCAGAATATTTCTGACTCACTGTTCCATTGTGATACTAGGGGCACAGTTACTGGAAACTTAGGTAACAAAACACATGATCTAACCTGTCTTGGTGGTTAAAAATCCCCTAAGCCCTTTGTAAGAGTTAGCTGTGTTAAAAAAACTTTTTGGCCAAATTCCCGCCTGACTAAACAGTTCTCTTGTAGTTTCATAGGGTATTCTTTCTTTCTTAGTTGTTCTGTGCTGTTAGGTGGCTGCATATCCACGATGGGTAGCTGCATCCTTTAAAACTGTCTCAAAAGAACTTTGGAATGAAAGTTGTAGAAATATAAAACCTTTTTTACATGGAACTGGGCAATTTGATTCCTTGTTGCATTGGTTTGTGAGAACGAATATTGGTTCAAACACTAAAGTTGCACTGTGAAAGGTTTTGCCATTATCCAAGAGCTGAGTTCAAGTTGATGCTCTTTCATTTGCATTATTAGCTGACATCACTCTTGCAAATCAGAGCGTCGATTTTTATCATTGCTTCTGGTATTAGTGAGGTCGTCAGCTGTTGCCTAGAGAATTAGGAAACTTGGGTTTTGAAAACACATGGTGCTGCCATAGCTCTTTGGATCACCTGGATCTGAGAGGCCTTGTGTGCTTTTCAGTCTAGCAGTGTCCTCTGGAGGGGCGAATATTTTTCATTGTGTGTAGTTAAAGATCTCCCAGTGAGCCAATGGAAGAGTGAGAAATGGTCCTAGTGTTAACCTTTCAGAGTATGCGCCCTCTGAAAAGATACCCTTTACTTTCTAACTATGCATAACTTTGTATGTTTTGTGAGTAAGGCTAGACCTGAACTTGGTTACTTGGTTACTTTGATTGGGGTTCTTAAACTGGTTTTAAGGTTTGTTTCCAATAAATGTTAATTCACCCCAGCAGTTCTCAGACCGTGATTTCCTCTCTAGTTAGCAAGCCGCTTCGAACCTTTCAAAGTGTAATCTCTCCTTTTCTCAGTGGCTGTGGTGATGCTACAGGATGGGAATTTTTCTACCCTCTCTGTCGCATGGCGAAGAGGGTGGCACTGCTCAGAGCAGATGGGCCTCTGGTTATGCAATTGCTCTTAGCCACTGCTTTCCTGTTGCTTCCATGCAGATGCACAAATCTGGAGTACTGAGGAAGGCCATTGATTACATTAAATACCTACAGCAGGTCAACCATAAGCTGAGACAGGAGAACATGGTTCTGAAACTGGCTAACCAGAAAAACAGTAAGTTACCAGAGCCAGGCGTGAATGGGACAAGAAGCAGGAACGTGTGGTTCCTCCTGCCCATTTGTGCCAATGGAGAATGATTGCGTATGAAGTCCAATCAGCATTGGCCCATCTTTCTGTGGCCACCTGAGCAGAGCGGCCATGGCACTGGGGATGGGCGAGAGGTATGTAGTAAATGGAATCTCTGATCTTCGCAGAGCTGTTGAAGGGCATTGACCTGAGCAGTCTCGTGGACAATGATGTAGACTTGAAGATAGATGACTTCAATCAAAACGTTCTCTTGATGTCTCCCCCAGCCTCCGACTCGGGGTCCCAGGAGGGCTTCTCCCCCTATTCCATTGACTCTGAGCCAGGAAGTCCACTCCTGGATGATGCAAAGGTAATCGTAGTTAACAGGAGAGCAGGATGGCTTGGCACTCAAGGGGTATGTCATGGCCAGGACTTTAGCTCCTTGTTATCTCAACAGTGCCAGCTGCTGGTCAGTCAAGAGCAGCGCTGAGAGAGCTCTGAAGGGTAGCGCTGCAGGCAATGCAGAGGTTCTGTAGGGCAAGAGATGGTTCAAGGAAAAGATTTGTCATAAAGGGTGCAAGATACCCAGAATGGGACATAGTCTCATCTAAAAGGGCTCTACTTCAGGGGGAGAGTCAAATGCTGGCTCTTGTTTGTTTGTATTACAGTGGCACATCGACTTCAGCCAACCTAGGCTGTATCATGCTGGACTCTGTACTGATATATGTGGTAAAAAACCTTGCCTCAGGAGCTTTTAGTCTTGAAGACAAGTAACATAGTTAAAATAGGAGATGAAGGAAGGGAGGATAAATTAACAGTTATAACATGTATTTACACAAGCTAGCTGTGAGCCTAATTTCTACATGCAATAAGCCCACGAGTAGTTTGCAACATTAACTCACCACTTGCCAGATGTTACCAGATAAAAGGATTTTGCAGGCATCACAACCACTGAGAGTCAAATGCTGGACGTGCAGGAGGGCAGAGTGGCTGCATGTGGCTTTGATGGAACCTTAGTGCTGATCTAACATAGGGAATCAAAGAAACCAAAATGGTGGGGGCCAGAGTGCAGGTTAGTCACTTTGCTACTCTAGGCCCCTGTTAGTGAGAATAGGCTGCCCCAGAGTTCTCGGTGGCTTCAGTCAAATACTTGGAAACTCATGCCCTCCCTGTCATGCCTGTGTGTTCTCTCTTCTCTCACAGGCTTCTTGCTGTTTTATAGTGTTTAAAATTACTTCACTTCTCACTCTTCCTCTCCATCCCTGCCCTTTGTGAAGGTTAAAGATGAACCCGACTCTCCCCCTGTGGCCCTTGGCATGGTGGATCGCTCTCGAATACTTCTCTGTGCTCTCACATTCCTCTGCCTCTCCTTCAACCCCCTGACATCCCTCCTGGAGGGCCGAGGGATGCCTGAATCGGACAGCTCTTTATATCATGGCTCTGGAAGGAATGTGCTGGGCATCAAGTCAGGTAACCACTGAAAGAGACTTTCAGAGTGTGTCAAGCCTCCTATTTTACGAAGTATTGTAGTAGGAAGCAGAACCATGGTGAGGTGGGAGGTCTGAGGCCTGGATGAACTAGTGAGTGCTTTGGCATGAGTAGATCTTACAAGAGGGAAACTGGAGGTGGTAAAATCAAACAGTCCAGTAGGCTACCAGAAAGCACCTTGCATAGCCCACCACCACCACAAGCTACTATAGCTGGACAGATGTCGGGGAGTTTTGAACTAAGTCACTTTTCTATTCCCAGAAGAGTAAACTTTCTAATGAAGTTCAAAAATATATTTCTTGATCATTTGTCATAACTTGCAAACGAAGTGAAAATAGTGCAGACATCATGGCTCCTGCCACAACATTAACTTGGCCGTACTCCTCAGAATGTTTGGCTTTATGGGGTGTATTTAACAGCCTATGCAGAAATGTGTTAAACTGCACTCTTAACAAGGGCCAGGAACCCTGTAAGGACCTCTGCAACTCCCTGACCTGTAACCATACACTCTTCACATTGTACTAACTTACCTTCATGCGTTTAATTAATATTAATGCTAAGCCCTGCTATGAGTGCAGGGGACTGGATTGATGACCTATCAAGGTCCCTTCCAGTCCTATGATTTTACTGTGCCCCTTTTAGGCATGAACATCCTGGGATGCCCAGTTCTTCACTAGAGCCACTTGTGCCACCCTCCCCTCAAGTGGAAGATTAGTTTTGTTTTTTTAATTAATGTGCAATGAGATTATTTTTAAAGTTGCCAATGTCTGAGTCTCTGCTCAGATGGAGACAAGTCAATAACAGTCCCTTGAAGAAAATCAAAGCTTTCCAACATTCAGGGCATTTTAAATGGGGTCACAGTGACATGTTGAGATAGGGCTGGACATGTTTGTCACTTATGGCCTACCATGCTTGTGCTGTGCTATGCAGACTGATTTCTCTTTATTTCTCTTTCTGCCAGGTGCTGGTGGCTGGTTTGACTGGGTGCTGCCCACTTTGCTGCTCTGGCTGGTGAACGGTGTAATTGTCCTGAGCGTGTTTATAAAGCTCCTTGTGCATGGAGAGCCAGTGACCCGGCTGCACTCTCGCTCATCTGTAATGTTCTGGCGGCATCGCAAGCAGGCTGACTTGGATTTGGCTAGGGTAAAGCAACCCTTCACTTCGCAGAGCAAATCCTGCCCTTCCCTCTTTTGGAGGTGCCGATGGCTTGGCACTTGGGAGTCTGTCAGCTTTTCTAGGGTTAACCTTCCTGTGCAATTGAAGTGGAAAATGTGGAGAGAATTGGTGCCAGATAAAGGACACACGTCTGCATGAAACGTCAAACAGCTAACCATGTATGGCACAGACAGCAGCGTTGTAAGCCTCCCGTCGATAGCCCCGCATCTGTGCCTCACTCCTGCCTTATGGGGCAGCCTCTAGGGAACAGAGGGGAATTCAGTTTTCATTCTCACTCAGTACTTGGCCAGGAAAGGATCAGCTGTGCTGCTTGGGTTTTTTAAACATAGAGCTCATTAAGAATTAGACTTACACCACCAATTTGCTGCCCGTAACCCGCTGAACTGGTTTCCTATGACTGCACCCTCATCGCCATAGGCCCCCTATTTTATGACTGTCACAGTTCCCCTGCCCTCCTGCCCCCGAGGACAACTTTCTGTACTGCTCCCCAGCACTGAAGTAGTGGGCTGGTTTTGGTAGTGCGGGCCCAAGCTTCCACCTGATTTGGCACAACTTCATGCTGTCTCTCCAGCAAGCATCTGTGTGTCTGTCGAGTTTTCAGCACTTGGCATGTCCAGGTACTAGAGATGTGGGCTCAGCTCCTCAGTTGGTGTCAGTCTGCATTGAAGTCTGCGGAGATTTGCTGATGGACAGCAGCTGCTAGCCTTGAGTGGTCTGTGTAGTTCTAAATGGACAGGAGTCCTCCAAAAGCCTATGCTGGCACTCAGCTGAGAGGTGTCAGATTGCCTGGGTCATGGAGATTCAACTCACTGGTTCCTGGAGGGGTGGGGCTCCAGCCATGGAGGGCGTGTGGTGGGACATGGAAAAAGCTTGCCCTGCCTCTGCTCACTGTACATGTTCTTGGGGTCAGTAGAGCTCTGTTGTCTCTAGGGCTGTCAGTGCAGCCCTGTTCACTAGCTTAAAAGATCTTTAACTATTTACCACTGTGTTTGCAGGAAGATTTTGCGGCTGCCGCCTCAAATCTGCAGATCTGCCTGTCAGTTCTGGGTCGAGCGCTGCCTGCATCCCGCTTGGACTTGGCCTGCAGCTTGTCCTGGAACGTGATCCGCTACAGTCTGCAGAAGCTGGGGCTGGTACGTTGGCTGCTGAAGAGGACTTCACAACGACAGCGAGCAAGAGAGGCTGCTGCTGGCTTTGAGGATGAGGCCAAGACCAGTGCTCGGGATGCAGCTCTGGCATATCACAAGCTCCATCAGCTCCACATCACAGGTAAGGGCAGAGGCCTCTTCCCCTGACAGAATGAGGATGAAGGGCTCCTTGGCCTGCTCTCCTCAAATTAGCTTCAGGGACAAGTTACGCATAGACTGATGTGAAATGTCCCAAGGGAACAGTGCCGTTCAAGAGACAACTCGGTAAACACCATCTCTCCTGGGGCTATAGTACCGCCTCTGGGGTTCTGGGATCTGTAATACGCATCCAGGGCTTTAGCTGTTATAATGTCCCATCTACACCACAAAATGGAGGTGTGTTGAAATGGGTCAGGGATTAACCACATGGTAACCTGCTAGCCCGATTGTTGTAACTGTACCAGGTATGGACTCCAGAATTCCCCGTGGCACGTTTTGCCAGAGTCAACAGTTAGCTGGCACACTGGGCAAATTCCAGATTTGGTTATGCCAGACAAAATTCATGTTTCTTCAATAAAACCTGGGGTTTCTCTGACTCTCATCCCTGCGCTGGTGGTGGTGATGCCATGTGCTGTTACACAGCTGTTGCACTCCTCTGGCCAGGCTCCCATGCTAAGCGATCCATGTACAGTGAGCTTGAAAAATGGGCTTGTTCTGGGGAGCAAGAGGCTTTCCCAGGCAGCTGTCATTAACAGTTGTAGAATCTAAGTTCAATAAAACCTGGGGTTTCTCTGACTCTCATCCCTGCGCTGGTGGTGGTGATGCCATGTGCTGTTACACAGCTGTTGCACTCCTCTGGCCAGGCTCCCATGCTAAGCGATCCATGTACAGTGAGCTTGAAAAATGGGCTTGTTCTGGGGAGCAAGAGGCTTTCCCAGGCAGCTGTCATTAACAGTTGTAGAATCTAAGCGCTAGCCCTTCTGGCTGTGGAGAGTCTCCTAGATGTGAACAGCGGGGACGGACGCTGTGCTCTCTGCAGAAAGATCATTTGGAGTCTTGGCTGCTGCTTGCAACTTGCCCATGCAGCAGCCAATTGAGAGCAGACCTGAGTTTTGTCCGGGTGCACTGCTGCTAGTGGGGATCCTGAGCTCAAATTCACTCCTGTCACATGAGCAGGACTAATCCCCTTAGAAGAAGACCTAAAGCCAGAGACTGGGGGAGTAGATTAGCAGACACCAGCACTCTCTCCTGCTTGCACCTGCCTGTAGGTGTGGTACATTGCTGAAGCCTACTGACATGTCTGTACACGATCGCTGGCCAGCATTTGGGATCAGCATGATGTGGTGAATGGAGCTTTCCATTACTACTTTGGGTAGATGAAGCAAAATGCAGGACAATGTAGCACTTTAAAGACTAACAAGATGGTTTATTAGATGATGAGCTTTCGTGGGCCAGACCCACTTCCTCAGATCAAATAGTGGAAGAAAATAGTCACAACCATATATACCAAAGGATACAATTAAAAAAATGAACAAATATGAAAAGGACAAATCACATTGCAGAACAGAAGGGGGATGCGGGGGAGGGGGGGGATAATTCATGGTCTAACAAACCGCTGATGTGTAGTTTAAGCTGCCCTTTCTCACTTTTATCACATTAATGCTTGTTAGGCCACCGTGGGCCTCCCATAGCTATTCCCTACGCTTCTGGATCATGCTATTCAAATGCCTGTCCAGGTTTGGACCCCAAAGGAAGCTGGTGATTCCAGTGATGCGTGCAGCAGAGCAAAACTCCGTCTCGTTCCTTTCATGGCTATTTGGCTCTTGGAGAGCTGGTCGTGATGCCTGTGGCACTCTAAACTCTTTCTGCCAAGGGGGTCCAGTCAATGTAGGGTGCAGGCTGTGAGAAGCATCATAATTGTATGTATTACACTAGGATGGCTTTTGTATGGTCACCATACAAGAGAGGTGAATTATTCTTCTCTCCCTGGCACAGGTAAACTTCCATCCAGCTCAGCATACTCAGGTTTGCACATGGCCCTGTGTGCTGTGAATCTGGCTGAGAGTGCAGAGGAGAAGATCCCACCCAGCATGATGGCAGAGATCCACCTGACTGCTGCTGTTGGCCTGAAAACCCGTTGCGGAGGCAAGCTGGGCTTCCTGGCGGTGAGTGAGTCCCACTGTTCTCCTCTGTGCCTCCCAGCAGAGCTCTGAGCAGGGAAGGCCTGCATGCTTCTAGTTAGTCAGTTAGGTCTTGGGGGTCATGATGCTTTGGGGTTCAGCCCAGACCAGTGAAGGGTTGTCACCCCTGTCCTGCAGGTTGGGTGCCTTCAGTGCTGTGCTGCCATCTCCCATCCCTGACACAACAGCCAACCTTACAAGCATGCAGGTGTAACCCCGTCTTCTCCCACTCAGTTACTTCTAGCAGTGACCCCAGCACCCTCCCAGTCAGTGTTCTCTGGAAGCTGAGCACTTGGACAGCCACCCAGGAGAGATGTGTGTCCACAGGTAGTGCATGTCCACACACACCACCATTTATTCCTCACATGGATGGAAAACATTAGAGGGAATGTTGCTTTCTGTCCCAAATTCCTCCAGATTGATTTCCCTATGACAATCTGCTAGGGTTCCCAGAACTGAGGTTACTGTGTTCCCCATCTCAGCCTCAGCGAGTGAGAGCTTTGCTGCAGCTGAGTTGTGACATCTTCCTGATTCACCTGCTTGTCTGCCTGGCCAGCAAACTCTAGGTCTCTGCCAGTCCACTGTCCTTGCAAGTAACAGCGAACCTTGACTCCAGAGTTCCAGAAACGTTTTCTCCTTTACTGAATGCTCTCAGTTCAGTTAGTCACTCCTTTAGTAAAACCCTACACTACTGCTCGTTAATTAAACTGGGATTTGACAAACTCTTATTTCAGTCAGTGCACTGGATTGAGTTATAGTAGAAATAAAACAAACTTTGTTTACCAGACTGACACAAATTTAAGCGTTACCAACTATATGGTATAGAGAGAAAGGGTTGCAAACAGAAATGCGCTTCTCAAACTAAAACTTAACTTTAGCCAGTTAGAAACCTGCTTAAGGGGGGGCATTGTCACCTAAACTCAATTTCCAGGGACTTCAGCCCCCCTTACCTGAAGGGACCAGGAGCTTTGCCCCTTTGAGGCCTCTCCTCAAAGTGTTGGATATTTCAAATGCCTTTTTGCCCCCACACCCATGTTCACTGTCTCTTATCAATAGCCAGTAGGGCTTCCTATGGACTCCCCAACCCACTACTGATTTGTACGTCACTGGGGACTTCCATTGTTGTGATTCCACACTGCTTAATTTACACTGAAGACAGGTAGGTAGCCTCCTTTCTCCTGTCTGGTCACTTTAAAGCATGTTATCATAATTCCTCCAACAGTCAGCTGAGTCAGTTGCCTGGTTGTTTGGGGGTTTCAGGCCTTCATTTCCCCCCCTTGTGTATCTGGTTCCAGATTCACTATGATGCCCAGCAATTACACTGAATTTGAATGACTCAGGCCTGGCCTGTAATGAATCTTGCCCCTGTGCTTGCTGTCACTGAACCACATGCATGATATGTCTGTTCTTCCTGGCACCATTCTCACCCCCTGGATTCTCCTTTTTTCTCCAGAGTTATTTCTTAAACAAGGCCCAGAGCCTGTGTAGCTCAGAGCGGAGTGCCATTCCCGACTCCCTACGCTGGCTGTGCCACCCGCTTGGACAGAGATTTTTTGTGGAACGGAGCTGGACAGTGAAATCTGCTACAAAGGAGAGCCTGTACTGTGCCCCGAGGAACCCAGGTAAGAGTCACGGTATTTCTGACATCCTCGAAGGCATGGTTTTCCAGCATCTTGTACAGGGAATCTTCTCTCTCCTTTGATATCTGGACAACTTACAGTATCTAGTCTCAAAAGATTCTCCCCACAGTCAAGAGCGTGTAGGAAACTTCCTCCATGGCTAGCAGCTGAAAGGGCAAGTTTTCTCTTCATTTTCTCTTGTGTGTGTTTCGGCGCATAGTCCTGCCTATGTCCTCCCATCACACAATACAGCAGCATTCTCTCAAGAAGTGAGACTGAGTGACCGTGAGCCTTTCTCTTTGGAGCCATATCCCATTCTTTTGTGTGGGTGAAGTGGTACTTCTGATTGGGATGCGTGGGCTGGCTCTGCAGGGTTAGATCTCTAATAATAAACAAGCCAATCAAAGTATGAAGGGTCACTTTGAATAAGTCAAACATTTGAATTTTTGGGATCTTTCAGGACCCTCCACCTGTCCCTCAAGAACATCCCTCTGGGTAGCTCTTGCTGTTTCTGCCTTTGAATTTGCTTCCCTCCTCCAGCTGGTCTAGTATCTGGAGAGGCTTGGGCTTGTGAACAAGAGAAAAGCAAAATTCTGATTCTCTTCTTTCCAGCTGATCCCATAGCACAGGTTCACCAGGCGTTCTGTGAGAATCTGTTGGAGAAAGCTGTGGATTCCCTTGTGAAGCCTCAGGCCAGGAAAGGGACTGTGGGACAGGAGGAGGAGCAGCCCTGGTAAGTTTCCGTGCTTAGATTGTTACTGGCATAGATGAGAGGGTCCCAGTACTCTGAGGGATTAAGGGCTGCATTCATCATTTTACAAGGAGCCCTGAGGACAACTAACTCTCATCTTTTCATTCAAATTTATAGTCGTCATGTGACTTACAGGGGCTACAGATGTGGTGGGCAACCTGTGGCCCATCGGGGTTCTGTGTGTGGCCTGAGACATTTTGTTCATCGTCTATGCATGGGGTTGCCAGATTGCGCTGGTTTCCATCACGTAATTTTTTTCCCCAATGGGTATTACTACAGTGACATGCACATAAAGCAAAGGCACGTGAAGTGAGGTGTATGCAGATTGCACACAACACTCCCTCTAGATCCAATCGAAGTGCTGTTATGGCTGAATTGGCACACCTGGCAAATTCTAAGTATGCAAGTGCAGTTAGCAAAACTACCTTATCCTGGGAAATCATCTTGGTTACGGCCATCTTGCAGTCCGCTGAGATGGAGGCCCACTCATCTCACTATAGCTAACGTTGCCCATCACTGAGCTACAATGATCATTAGTAGGGATTGAACTCAGGATATGCCAAGCCCCCCCTCCACACACACTTCAGTTTTGAAGGGGAATTCTTACTTTTAATCGTTCAGGGCCCAGACTCTTGGGGCACATCTATGTAGCAGGGGAAAAGCTGAAGTAAGCTACGCAGCTTGAGCTATGTCCGTATTCACACATGCCTCAGTGCACATAAAGTTATTCCACATATGGATGGAAAAAATGTGCACATGGATGGAAAAGATTAGAGGGAATATTGCTGGTGACATACAGTGGCTCCATGCCTAACGTTTTCTTGTCTATATCTCAGTCACTAAATAAAGAGCGTTAGGTTGAGCTTTCCAGCAGTGTAAACCAAACCAAAATAGATAGATGTGTGAGTGACAGAGCAAACTTTGGCTGCAGTCTTTAAGTCACTGGGCTATATAGACTGTCACCATTTCTGAGTGAAATAAAGGGAAAGCAAAGAGCTGCTTTGTCTACTTTGAGCCATGTCTACTTTAGGATTCAACTCTGGTCATGCCTTCTAGACCAATTCTAAGTCTCTCATAAATCTGAACTTCTGTAGTGATTTTCCCCCCCCCTCCTCCCCCACCTCCAAAACACTTTTGCTGAGGACCAAGAAGATACCATAGTTCTCCTCCCACCCTGCACCCATCCTTCGCATCAGTTGGTAAAAGGTAGGTGGGAACAGGTGAGGAGGGGTCACTCCAGCCCAGCTGGGCTGGAGCTGCCACCCTGTGGCCTGCCACTGAGCTGAAATATCCCCCCTTAGGCAGGGACTGTTCCAAACTGGCCGGAGCAGTCCCTGCCTGCAGGGCACTTCAGCCCACAATGGACAGAGGCTGCTCCAGCCTTGCAGCAGCCCCTGTCCGCAGCAGGCCCTGCAGGGCTGGAGCAGCCTCCTGTTCATGGCAGGTGGGGAGCTGTTCCAGCCCCCACTGGTTAATTGGAACTGGTAAGCATCACCCATTAAGGATGGTGCTTACTGGTTAACCTTTCTCATCCCTAGTAAAGATTTTGTTACATATTTGTGCATCTGCGTAATGGTATTATTCCAGTGGGTGACAAACAACTTGATCCAGCCCATAGAAATCAACATAGGACATGCTGCTGCCACTAATGAGGTAGAAATGTCGCAGAGTGTTTCACGGTAGTCCACAGACCATGTGCAAAGGTAGCCCCGTGACTCTGATTGGCAGGGGTATCTAATATTAATATGAACAAGTTTTCCATGGATAGGATCCCAAAACCACCTCTGAGGAAGACAGGAGCTGGATAAGTACAGTGTGTGCTTTCTTTGGCCAAGGCTGAGAACATTTGGCAGCTGTTGTGACTTGCTGTAATATAATCTGTATTGTCTTGAAGCCATGTGTGCAAAGGAGCCTATAATGGACTTGTGATACTGTCATACCTAGTGTCAGCAGGTGAGAGATACTGGAGCGAAGGCTGGCAGCTTCCAGATAGCATCTGTAAAATCTAAAGTGCTAATTAAATCGTTAGCATGAACATTGCCTTCCCCATAAACCTCACTTGTTATGCCCAGTAATTCTCTGTTCCTTCCAGCAAGTCCTTCCCATAGCAAGTAATCTGTTTTTAGAGTTTGTGTTTCGGTCTAATTTTCCCACCTATCACCTGACAGACAGAGCAGGGAGAACATGTTTGTCCTGACCTTGGGGCTAGTACTGAGTGTGCTCCTGGCCCTGATTGCGCCGACAGTGATGCAATATATACTGCTGCCCCCTGGAGACTGAGGAGCTCTCTACATTTGAATTCCCATAGCAAGTAATCTGTTTTTAGAGTTTGTGTTTCGGTCTAATTTTCCCACCTATCACCTGACAGACAGAGCAGGGAGAACATGTTTGTCCTGACCTTGGGGCTAGTACTGAGTGTGCTCCTGGCCCTGATTGCGCCGACAGTGATGCAATATATACTGCTGCCCCCTGGAGACTGAGGAGCTCTCTACATTTGAAGCTGGTGCTGATGAAGCGAGCATGCTAAAAGCAGCATAGTTGCTGCAGTGGTGGAAGGGGCTAGCCACCGGACTCAGTCAAGATTGTACTCGACAGCAAGCCCCTGGCATATGTCGTGTGCTTGCTCCATCAGAGCTGGCATGGGAATGTCTCCTGGAACTGGGCATGAACACCCCCCAGCTTGAAGTGCAGACATCTCTACAGTTACACCCCAGGGTTAGGGCTCTGGATGAATCCTAACCCTGGTCTCTCCACCCCCCAACACAACCACTGCAGCTGGGAGTGCACCTCCCAGCGTGAGTGGACAGACATGTGCTAGCTTCACTTGAGCTGGTGCACTTAAAGAGCAGTGTGGAATATGTGGCTGCACTGGGCACTTGGATTAGCCACCTGAATCCAAGCCCCCTGACTCTTGGCTCTGAGCTTGGGTGGCAAACCGGAGTTTGCCGGAGCTGTGATGTTGAGCTAGCATGAAACTGTTTACCTGGCTGCAGTGTAGCTATACCCAGTGCAGCTTCCTCTGCTAGACATGTTCTTCCAGGCCAGAGGAAGGTACCTCATAGTAAAGCTGCACTATACACACTATAAACACTACTCAGATCTTGAACTCCAGTACTTGACCCACTGACTAGTGTGTAAGCAGTGTTTATAAATAGGAGCCACCCAGATTATACTGAGACACACTGTAAATATGTCCTCTCATGCTTGGAGCCTAGTAAATGTCTTTTGTCTGACTTGTACTTCCAGTGAATTCTCTAGTGCTTTGGAGTACCTGAAATTAGTCAACTCCTTTGTGGACTCGATGGGAACCAGTACTTGACCCACTGACTAGTGTGTAAGCAGTGTTTATAAATAGGAGCCACCCAGATTATACTGAGACACACTGTAAATATGTCCTCTCATGCTTGGAGCCTAGTAAATGTCTTTTGTCTGACTTGTACTTCCAGTGAATTCTCTAGTGCTTTGGAGTACCTGAAATTAGTCAACTCCTTTGTGGACTCGATGGGAA